AGGACTCCTCCTGGAAATCCAGAAGCTTCTCTTCTTTCCATACTTCCAGTAAAGCTCTCCTAACTTCTCTCTTTGGTGTGCAGCTTCATTCTTTGAAACTGTGGAACCTAGAACTTGGCTCATTTGATGCCTTACAGGATGGGGATTCTATCTCACCTCCATCACTCTTGTGGGAGGCACAATAACTCCAGGCCTCCAATACTACTGCAAGTGAGTGTTTTTCTAAATCCTGTGAATCTGCCACATCATGACTCCGTGCCACATATCCCTTAATGGTCACCTGAGTGCCTCTGACCTATAAACTTCTCTTGATGCATCAGTGTCATTAGTGAAGCTGACTTCCTCTTCCTCTACCTCTGCTGAGCTAAGCTCCTAATTCTTCTTACCGCGCCTATTTCCCATAAATCTCCTGCTATGCCCTGGAGGTGGGACTTCCCATCATAGCCCAGTTGCCTAGTTACTGGCGCCTTTTACCCGCCGACGTCATTTCCCTATGCCTCCACTATATTTACCCAGCACCTCCCCTGAATAAATGAGACTTGATCAGAATCCTGTCCTGTCTCCATTTCTCGCGTCTCCTGTCCTTTGTCCCCTCCTCAATTCCCTGCTCCTCTCCCAGGTGACCTTCATTGACTGACCCGCTGGTTGGGGACAACTCTAAGCTGGTTAGTTGAGGCCTAGGGCGTCCCCACTCCTTGAGCTAACATAGCGTAGCTGCTCACTACTTTTAGCTCAGTGAGTGGGTTCCTTTTATTTGTTCATAGTGAGTGAGTAAATGAACTGTGCTCAAGACCCTGAGTGGCCAAATATTTATTTTATTGAATCATTTAGGCTATTGTTTAAAATGATTGATTGACTGTGAGAAACCAGGTACTTCTATTTCCTATGATACTGGAACAGAATTTTTGTAAATCTTAGCATTACTTTACAGAGAATAAATAATCTGAGATTTAATTTTAATTTGATACCTCATCATGTTAATTATCATTTGATATTCACTTACACTTGGTTATTTAGTCATTCTTTTCCTTTCGCTTTGCTTTGCTTTGCTTTGCTTTCTTTTCTTTTCTTTCTTTCTTTTCTTTTCTTTTCTTTTCTTGACAGTTTTGCTATGTAGTCCAGGCTGTTCTTCAACTCATAGAAATTCTCCTGCTTCAACTTCCCCAGTGCTGAAACTACAGGTTTGTGCAACCAGATCCTATTTCCTATAAGTTTAACATTTTTCCCCATTTATAAACGTTAAATACAGGGCTGGTGTGATAGATAGCTGAATGGACTAAGTGCCTACTTTGGCAAATGCAGGGACCAGGGTTTGATCCCTGACACCACATGCCCCGCTGGCCCCTTCCCTGGGGCACCCTGAGCCTGTGACAGAGTCTGGGCGTGGTGGTGCATGCCCAGGGCTGAGGAGGCTGAAAACAAGACGAATACTACAAGTCTAAGCTATGTAGTAAGACTCTGTACCAAACACATAAAATGAAAAAAAAACCTTAAATACAATGTTAAAATAAAAAATAGTTGTAAGGTAGAAGAAATAAAGAGAAGTAGAAGAGAAATAAGTAAATCTATAATTTGTCAATTGTAGTTTTAAGAAAAACTGGAGATTTAAGATAAAAAAAACAAAAATCTTTTGTCCCTTCAAGAAAACTCACTCAATAAAAAAAAAAAAAAAAAAAAATTCTAGGCCTTTTAAAGATACACCAAGACTACGAGTTGAGGACCCATCCCTTTCCCCTGTGAATCACACTAACGGTCAATTCCTACTGTTTTGTTTTACCTGTCAATCATGCCATGCCAAATAGCCAAATTAAATGGTCAAAACCTTTCCACCCATGGACAATGTATCTTCCTTTTTCTTGTAAAAGGAGCCTTTCATTTGTGATTTGACCACTACCTTTCACTTGTGCAAAGGGCCATCACCTTCTATGGACTCACACATTCTATGGATTTCCACCTCCAAAACCAGGTACGTAGACTAGAAGAAAATGCTAAAGCCAAGAGTTTCACTCCATGATTCTGGCTATGAAAAGAAACTTGGGGGGACAGTAAGTCTGCAGGCACCCAGGGCAGGCACAGCAGTCAGTGTCTGTGTGAATCAGTCCTGTGACTTCTCGCCCCATGTGAGGCTTCATTGTCTCTAGGAGACAGCACTGAGTGTGTGGTGCAAACTGGACTGCCTCAGAGCATGCATGGCTGAGGTGCTGCGCTGCTGAGCAGAGGGGCCTGCCTTCCCCACAAGCGCGCTCTGCTTTTCCCATCTGCCTTCCACTGAACCTATGGAGTCCCTCCTAATGCAGTGAGTAGTATATCCTCACCTCCAAGGCACAGGACACTGCTCTCCTGAAGGGCTGCCCTCTAGTTTCTCTGAATGTGTTTTACAGTTCTGCCTAACAAAGACCTTTATGACTGTCCCTGGTGCCTCTTGAATGTTAGCAGACAGAGAAGCTGCTCCAGGGATGGAAGGCATGAGCTAAGGTGCACCCTTACTTGGTTGTGGGCTGCTGAGTGTCTTTCTGTCCTGAGCGAAGAAGTGGGCAAGACAAATACAGTAGTTTGCAAGGTTTTCTCAAAGGTAGAAAAAGAACCAGGCTCTGCAGAGAGACAGGACCAAATAAAAGGAACAAAGGGAGTCCACCCTACAGTGTGGAAGTGTGCAACTATGCAAAGAGCGCAGCAGGAGAAAAGCTCAGAGTGGGCAGGCTGTCTTAACAAAGACACTGCACCCTTTGCGGGAGGAGTCCAGCGCCTGGGCCTTGGGACCTGTTCCACACATACGTCGCTGGGTTTTGTACTTAACAGGCCACACTGACTCCTTGCCAGCGGTGCTGGGCCCTGATCCTGTGTCTCTCATCTACACTTTAGGAAAACTTCTCAGACACTAGGTGAGGTAGGAGAGAAAAGGTGAAGACAAGTAGAAATGGGATAGGAAATCATGCCTTTACAAGTGAAGGCTGCAGCTGAGTACAGAAACCAATTTAACACTTTTTTATCTTTTCTTCTAAAACACAGTAAGATTAGACAATCCATTTTCACTTGCAAATAGGTAGGACCGTTCCCCTTTATCCTGTAATTGGCCTATTTCACCAGTGAATACGCTGCCATCTCTTTTTACCTGTACTTGGGCTTTTCCCTATGAATGGCCCATCATTCTGTGGGTAGGCCATTTGACACTATGTTCTGTTGGTGAATCACTCTAGGAAATAGGCAGTTCCTGAGATACAGCAGGGGCCCTGTGGTCCAGAATGTGAGGTGGCACCATGGTCGTTTTTCTAAGGATACTTTCTAGAGCAAAATCAAGTTATAGGTTGACCCCAGTTGTCAACCCACTACAGTTATGTAATTGAACATGTACTATTAAAGGAAAAGAGAAACCAAGTGGCAAAGAAAAGAAATAGCACACCTGTGGAGATTGGTACTTTATCCTAGGTGACGAGAGACCATGAGCAGATCAAAGTGCTGTAGCTCAAATCCTGCTCACAGGCAGAAGCAGACATGAACAAATTAAAAATGAGAGAAGATGTGTGAGAAGATCTGCGCTGTAGTAATTCTGTCATCCATTTTGCTGAACAATTAATCACTGCACAAAATCGGTGTAATTAGTAATATTGCTTACTAGAGAATGGAAATATATTTAAATTATTTTAAAAGCTTTGTCTTATATATACATGAATGTTTATTCTATATTGTGATTCTGTTACATTTTGTTTAAAATTTGTCAGGCCAGAAAATTTCATAACAAGTAAAATGCTTTAAAAGTACCATAGTGATTTTGATGTAAGGGAATGAAACTCCTAACCTGGGCTGAGTTTGTGTTCTCTAAAACCAAAGAATGAGCTTTAGGAATAATGGAGGTTAGAGCAGAATATTTTGGGGGAAAGAAAACTTCTGTCCAAGAGAGGGACAGAAGAGGAACCAAGAGGTTCGCCACCAGGAATCTGCCTTTTCTAGGGATTTTTACAGAGCAAATCTGTCAGGTGAGGTAGGTCTTAGGTGGAAACATAGAAACTCATACATGAAGTGGAACAAAACTATGATCAAGAAGTAAGGTTTAAAGCACCTTTGCTCAGGTAAAATTGAATAAATCCAGGACCAAATAGGAAAGTGAGTGACACAGCAAGCAGGCATGAATATAGAACAGGGGCCTTTCCTGTGGGGGTCTGGGTTAGCAACTCTTCCTGCCTTTCTCAAGGTGATGATCAATCCTGGATGCTTACCTTTAAGGAGGTAAGCATTTATTTGATCTTGCGCTTTGGACCGTAGCAAAAGCATCCATCTCGCTTACAGTTGCAAGGTATCTTGTCTTCCAAGCTGTATCTTTTGAGGGCCTAGACCTTTCTGACTGCCTATAACATTTCTGTCTAACTCAGCTGCCTACAACAATTTCACATGTAATAATACCTCTTTTTTTGTAAAGAGAAGGAAAAAATTGATTTTTAAAAAATACTTAAATGTGACTTGTGTCATTATTTTAAAATAGAAGTGGTATAGGGTGAGTAAAATTAAAATGTACATCACTATATTGAAATAATTATTTATCTGTTAGTGAAATAGGTACATATTTTTATATCCCACTTATTTGCACAGATTTAAAAATTGTTATTTTAAATTTGAAATAGCAAATATTTACTTATGTTATTTTTTGAGAAGCAGAAGCAATTATCTATTGTTTTAAAATTAGGCTTACATGGGAAACACTAAGTGTATAATCTAATTTTGTTACTAGGTTGTTGGTATTATATAAATTATGCTTTTGTAATAACAGGAAGACCAGTATTTATACTGCTCATTTATTTATTTCCTTGAAAAGAAGAACTTGTGTTATCAGTTTACTTCCTTTTTGTTTCTTTTCAGTTATGTCATGTACTCTTAGTAACTGTATTGATGATAATGCTACACAATGTGCTAATTATTGTGATTCTCTTATTACTTGATTGTAAAATTTCATTTTAATATTTTCATCAAGTGCAAACAAAGATTGCTTTTGAAAATAGCTTAGGTCTCCAACTTGGATATCCCGGGTGCTCACGCTCTCTGGGCTCTGACCCAGTGGCATAGGCGAGCACAGGGCTGTGCCCTGTGATGTACAATCCCTTGCCACAACATTTGAGAAGAGCCTGGGCCTCGTGTCTGCACCTGCATACTCCTACAGCTTCTCAGAGTTCTTTGGGCAATGACTGAGGAGATAAACCATGCAGGAAACAGTGTCTAGTAAACTTTAAGACTAATTTTGAAATATAATCTCCAAGAAAATAATCACTTTATGTTTATTTTCTTTAGGGCTGGTAAGATAGCTCAATAGACTAAGGGCCTGCTTAGGAAAACACAGGGACTAGGGATTGAACCATGTGCCATGCCAGCCCTGCCTATGGGTGCAATGAGCTGGTCATCTAGACCAGCCATGGTGTAGTAGAGCATGCTTGCAATCCTAGGGCTGGAGAGGCTGAAAACAGGAGGATCACTGAGAGTCTGAGCTGTGTAGTGAGACCTTGTACCAAATACATTAAAGAAGAAAGGAGAGAGAGAGAGAGAGAGAGAGAGAGAGAGAGAGAGAGAGAGAGAGAAAGAAAGAGAAAGAAAGAAAGAAAGAGAAAGAAAGAAAGAAAGAAAGAAAGAAAGAAAGAAAGAAAGAAAGAAAGAAAGAAAGAAAAAGAAAGAAAGGAAACAGGAAGCAAGCCTAGTTCTGTTACAGCAAGGCTAATCAAAGTTAAACATAAAGTATCCTCGAGTATCTTGTAGGTTCTCACAGTCATTAAATAACAACCTGAAATTTAATGAACTCCATATTTGGAGTATCTTTGTATACAAAAACCCCCTATATTTTCCATTATTTTTATCCAAGATCTTTCTGTGCATGTAAATAATAACACTAATGCAGCAGGTTACTATTAAAATTGTAATAACTGTAATGGTAGCAATATTGCCACTATGATGAAAAGAATAATATTTACATTAACCCTCTGGAAATCTTGTTTTCCAAACTTAACAGAGGTGTCACTTTTTCCAGTTGCCAAGCTGTGTGAGAAAGCATGGTGTTCCTGGTGACACTCAGACACTCAGTGGCTTAATGTCAGCTCAGGTTGCCTCCGGGGGAGAAGCCTGCTAACTCGGAGGAATCGAAATCTCTTGAAGACAGGGTATTTTGCCAACTTGGGCAGAGACGGATCATATAGGGGAAACAAGGACAATCCCAGTGCATAATCAGCTAAGAGTTAATTATTCTGCCAAATGGTCATGATGCCTTGACTTCCTGCCTTGTCACCTAAAACAAACAAAACTCTGTCTTTGCTGTCGTGCAATAAATCTATGGGTTACAGTCAGTTAGGGACTTCACTCCATTCCAGTGAAGACACTTGACTCCCTGACACAGATATTCTCTATGTCTCATGTCTTTATTCATTTCTCTAACAGGGTTTGATTGTCCAAACCTGGAAGTAAAGAGCAACAGGAAATTCAAGAATAATTGAATTACGTGATTAAAAATTCTAAAGAACTATGGAATATGAATTGACTGATTACTTTTTAAAAATTCATGACTATACTTTCTCCAGGGGTCTGATATCTCTATCTGAACACTGTATCTGAACATTAAATGTTCAAACTCACATGCTCATTGACACAGCTTGTCAATATTCTATATAATTGTTTTGACAAATTTAACATTTCACCTGCATTAATTTAGCGCCAAAGTAGTCATGAGCATGAACTAAATGTTTATAGTGTTGAGAAAAAGTATTCTCAATTCAAAACAGTTCTTAAGGAAATAAGTGAACAGAAAGATTTGCATAAGAAATGTTTTATGTTATCAGATAATGCCCTAGAGTTGTATCTTAAATAATTACTGAAACATAGCTTTGTCCTGCAAATTAGTGTTTTCAAGAATGGAATGTACATGGGCTTGACAGGAATAATTATAATCTCTAGAAGAAAGGAGAAAAGGAAAACTGCAACTGAAAATGTCAAGTCCTAGTACAATAATTATAAATAAGGTACTGTCTTCTTCCTTTTTATCAAATTTCATAGTCTGGAATTAGGCGATTATCTGCTTCTATAGCTCAGGGCAAGCTAAAGGTAAAGGAGGAGGAAACAGAGAGAACGTAGATCTGGGAAAACCTTGTGGGCTTCAAATTGGCATAAATATTTATAGAAATAGACACAGACACAGATGTGATTTATGCATTTATAAATGCATTTCCACTCTTTTGTTTAAGCCACTGTATTTGTAGCCCTTTTTATTATAATGGCAATTCACTTGTCTTGACAAATACGAAGAAAGCTCCATAGATAATGTGTGCTCTTCTTCACTTCTTGCTACAGGCCTTCAGCCCTGACGCCATGTCCACCACTCTCTGCTTCCTGTGTGCCAAGAGGAAGTCACTGTTGTTCCATACTATCATTGTATCTGTATGGGGGAAGGCGACTGTGTTTCTCATACCTTGGACCACAGTGACTCTCAAACATCACAACCCCAGACCTCTCCACTCGGTGAAATTTACTGAGGATCCCTAAAAGGGTCTGGTTCAGCATATTTATATTTACTTATAAATAAACCTTGAGAATATTTAAAACAATATTTATTTCTGTCTGGTGTACATATGGTTTGTCATCCTGCAACAGCTCGTGTTCCAGAAGCTTTGTTTGCAGTGTAGAGGGGCTTTTAAGAGGTGGAGATTAGTCAGAGGTGACAGAATCACTCAACCCTACTCTCCCGAATGAATCTTTGCAGAGATTGAATTACTTCTCCTGATCTTATGGGATCGAATCGGTTACCACATGAGTGGACTCTTAGGAAGCAGATTCTTCTCTCCTTCTGGCCCATGTAGCTCTGCTGTAGGCATCCAGTACTCTTCAGTCACAAAACCTTGAGCATAAAGTCAGTGTTTGCAGATGGCAGACTCTTGAACTTCAAACATGGGAAGTTAAATAAACATCTTAGTATAAATTACCTAATTTTGTTATACCAAAAGGAAATGGACTCAGACACTAATCAATCAAAATAACAAGAACAAATGTATTATGTGCAAACATGAGTACTATTTTATCAAGATAGCTACATACAAAAAGGATATAATTAACTAGTGAATATAGTAGTTATGTTTAATATTTTTGTTATTGTTTTTAATATTTAGTTTAATAAGATCAACTAAAGGTCTCTTTTGTTAGAGTATCTTTTCTCGTATGTATTTTGTTGGGTTATGTTTTCTTTGTTAGCAGTGCATAAGAAGAAAACACAGCTTCATACTGACACTTCCATAGCATTCTGAGATATATGTTAGCTTTTCATCTCTGTGGCGTAATAACTGCGAACAACAAGCTCAGAGGTTTTAGTATAGTCATTTGGCTCTGTGTCTTCTGGGTCTGGGCTGAAGCAGAATCATAATTGCAGGGAGCATGTGGTGGAGCAGAGGTGCTCAATTCATAATGGGATGTGTACTCCTTACCACGCAGACCTCCTACACCACTGGATGATCCTGCCACTTTCAGTACAGAGCTCTTCGTTTCACCTCCAATTGGCTGTCTCACCTGTCAGTCATTTCTGGAGAAACTCCCACTGACTCAGTCTGACAACTACAGAGGTGCACCCTTTCTATTCTTTCAGACTACTCTTGCTCCAGTCAAGTGAATGATCATGATTAACGGTCCAGGATATTTAGGAATATTTTGTTTTTGACAGTAAGTCCAAATTGCCTATCTTTTTAGGAGTTGATTGTAGTTTATATAACCTATAAGGTATTTCACTGGCATGAAATATTATGTTCTGTTCTAGTAAAATACACAAGATTTGTTTCAGGCTTAGGTGATTGTTGAGTCATTCTATACAATGTTGGGGAAAATCATTTCATAATTAAGGTGTGATTAAGACTCATTTGAGATCTAGTATCTTGCCAAGTAAGCTGGCTATGGTATTTGGAAATGTAACTCTGTATGCTTCTGGTTGCAGTTAAGGCCTCAATATTCTCATGATGCTGTGACACTCCAGGGCAAGATTATGTCATCTGGAGACAACCTGGTTCCTTCAGTAAGAGAAAAAGAAATGGTCTCCCATGGGGGAAAGGACAATGCTTCATTTCCCTGCTATCTATTCCCATCTGCTGCTGTAGCTCTGCTTTGCATGTCCCTCCTTCCTCATCAACCTAAGATACTCATCAGCTTAAGATCATCCCCAAGCCGTGTGATGCTATCTCTGATTTTTGTGCACCCAACAAATAGTGGCTGGTGCAGAACGTCTTTGTCTAGCACATTAAAGCTGTTGGTGAAGAATGGCAAGCCCAGCAGAGAAGGAATCGGAAAATACAGGAGTGGGTGCCTGGGAAGAGGTCAGGAGCAACTCCATGTGATACTGGCCTGTGCAGAAAAAGGGAACACTGGGTGATCAGAAAGGCCTGAACCTCCTCCTTGGCATACAAAACTGGATTTTGCAGAGATCCAAGTAATTTGGTCCCACACTGAGGTGAATGTGTCATGTTTATTCACATGCTTTGCTTTCTCTTTTAAGAATCGAATTTAATTAGTTTTCCAAACTAAATCTTCCTGCTATTACTACATATGCCCCCCCACACACACAGAAAAAAAAAAAGAAAGAAAGAAAGAAAGAAAAGAAAAGAAAAGAAAAGAAAAGAAAAGAAAAGAAAAGAAAGAAATAGAAAGGGTTTTTTAAAATCTGGTCAGTGGAGAAGAGACTGCAAATTATCAAATTAGTTCTCTTAATTCCAAATGAAATGAAAATTAAAAACAAAACTGTTGGTTTCTAATAGTGAACAAACAAAAACCAAGCATCGCTCTCCCTCCACTCCCCTAGCTCCCATCGCATACACCAACAACTGAGAAACATAGCTAGAGCCCAACATATCATGTACTGCTCAGGGCTGGGCCTGAGCCCAGGCTCAGTGGTGGCCTCCCCTGTCCAAGGGGACACAGCACCAGGGACAATTTCCACTGCAGCGGGATTCTGCATGGCTGGTGGGGGTGGAGCAGGATGTTCAGATTCTTCTTGAGGCTCCACTGTTCAGCTGCTAAGCAGCCACTTTCCTTCCCAGAGCCTCTCTCCCCTGAGCAAGGGCTCCCATCAAGAGTGGCCCCTACTCAGCTGTGGGCTGTAAATTGTCCCTCTCTTCTCGGTTCTTTGTTCCACTCTCATCATCTTCAGTCTCCCCTTTTTACAGCTCAGCATATTAATATGCCTTTACTTTTTATACTTAATTTTTAT